ACCCCCCCCCCCCCCCCCCCTCTCTCTCTCTCTCTCTCTCTCTCTCTGTCGTTCGTCCGGCCCCTTTTGACACGTTTGTTTCGGCGGCGGTAATAGCACTGGGGGGAGGAGAGGCAGCGCCGAAGGCGGGGCTGCAGGGCTAGGTGGTGGAGCGGGTTCGACGTACTCTGTTGGCACCGGTAAGTTGGGACGCAGCATGTGCGGTGACGGGCCTGTGTCTTGTGCTTCTTCCTCCTCATCCCCGCGAACCGTTTGCCAATCGAAACCAACCGCCCCCCCCCGCCCCAAAGAGCGTTCAAGTGCCACCCGTGTGGGTGTGGGATACACGTGCTTCTTTCCGCGCAAGGTTGCCGGAATTTTGCGCGGTAACCCTGATCACTCTGTTGGTCTCGCCTCCATTCTGAACCTTGTCATCGTCCTTGTCTTTTTTAGACAGTGTACATGCGATCGCTGAAGACTATCCGTTCTAGAAAATATAACCACAGCAGTAGTCGAAGGGGTATGTGTTGGATGAAGTCTTAGTCTTTGCAGTGTAAGGGGGAGAAAACCTGCTGGATACTGGGGCTTATTTTGACTCTGTTTTGCCTATGCGGTGCAAATTCATCTTTTTCGTTGTCTTTCCTTATTCTGTACCATTGGTACATGGTCTATCCACGTCTCTTCCAATCAACAGTTTGTAGTCTTACCCATGACAGGTTGCTTTCGAACTCTAAGATCGTGTCAGTTCGACATTCCACTTTGTTGTTAACCTTTGTCGTATTACTTTTGTATTGTGTTATTGGTATATAATTAAAGGTTACAAGCGAGGCGTCAACGGGGCCGGGGATGTGGAGGATCTTCTTGCCGCCCTCGAGGAGGCACAGACCTTGGCAGAGACAAGGTACATACCGTATTGTACCGTAATGTACTACTGTACCACACGTGCAGGATAACAGTGTAGTACCCGCACCTGCAGTTTTACCAACTAGTCCATGGCGTGTCGCCAGCACCGCCAGCTTTGTATGGTGCCATTGCCGTACCATTGCTCCTTGCCGTAGCATATCCAAGTGTAACTAACGTTTGCGTTGTGTTGTGTTGTGTGAGTTGGCGGGACCTATTGCCGGTACGACAGCGTTCACGGAAAGTTACCGGTACGCCGTCATTGGTACCGTCGTTACCACGGACTTGTTTTGTTTTCGTTCTAACAAAGGGGTTCCGCTCGGTGCTCCAGCACCTCCTGTCAGTGCTGTATGGGCGGTTGAGCATGATCGCGTTTTGAGAAAGCCGGTGACGACGACAAGATGTTTTGGTTGGGTCTGCCCCCGAGGCTAGTCGTGTTGATCGTTCATCGTTGGTCATGGCAGTTTCCGTGCAGATTATATAGTGGTTGAAGCGATCGTGGCCACGTGTAAGGATCTGATGCTTTGTACAGTAACCAAAAAAATAGTGCGGAATTTGATTAAACCTCGCAACCAACTTGAGACGTCGTGATGAAACGCGTCTGTGTGAGTGTTTCACCCCGGCGGACAAGCCAAACATGTGTGCACCATTATAGTGCAGATTTGCCTCCAGAATACTTGGGACGAACGCACACCAGATTCAACACATCGTGGATAGATACCGCACCAAACAACACCAAACGATTCTTTTGTTTTTTGGCTGAAACACCCCGCTCGCGTGGTGTCACAACTTACAACTTCCCCCCCTGCTTTTCGTTCTGTCGGCGAACGTGGCGTACTGCTGTGGTGTACGGTAGGCTGAAGGAGATGGAGAGGTGGAGGACCGAGAAGACAGAGGCTGAGCGAGAGCTGACCCAGTTCAAGGCCAGCACGGAGCTAGAGACAAAGAAGGCTGATCTATCCGGGCACCCACAATTTCAGAGGGTGAGGTGCTCTCTCAGATACCTCTGCGTATGGGTGTTGATTGGGCTTAGAGGGCGAGGTCGTCAAAGTTTCTTCTGCTGATTAATCAGTCGTGGAGGGTCAGGTTCTGAGACTCTAGTGTTAATTGAGCCTATATAGAGGGTGAGGTTCTCAGATGCCTATGGGTGTTGATTTAGCTTAGAGGGCGAGGTTCTGCGTGCTGAGGCTCTGAGAATGTAGTGTTGCTTGAGTTTTGAGGTTGTGACGCTGAGATTATTTTGTAGATGGAGATTTTTGTTACAGTTTTGATCTCCTTCGTGGTAGGAAAATGTTAGTGTTCCGAGCGTGTAAGTATGTATGTAGGATTTGGTTACCCCGCTGCAACATAAACCCGCGCCGCCTTTTTTTGCTCGACATATCCATTCCGGTGATTGGAACGCTTTGTACCGGTCCCTTGGGGTATGAGCGAGTGTTGGCCTATTTTCAGCTCATCCCTGGTTTGATGTTGCCGCTGCCATGTGTCCTTTTCATACAATAGTTGTCGACCCAGTTGGAAGCGGAGCAGGACATGCTGAAGCTGGAGAAGGCAAGGGTGACCGAGCTTGAAGGGCAGATCAAGCAGATGTCGGGCCAGGTGGAGCAGCACGAGATGGCGCTGCAGCAGCAGATGGAGCAGCAGCGCCTCCGGTGGAAGTCGGAGATCGTCTCGAGCAACAGCATGCTCAACACGGTGGGTCACCATGAAAATCGTGTCCCCGCACAGGCATACCGCCAAGTACTTGGCTACAGGGTCGCGTTGTTATCTCCGGGTGCCCTCTATAATAGACTCACGCAAACCCTACGCCGTGTGCAGGGTGTGGGGATTGGCCCACGTGTCAGTTAACCTTGGACGAACGCCCCCGTTGTCGTGCATGCACACGTATGTGTAGCTTTGTTATATTTGTCATGGCAGCACATATGCGGGGTTTGGTAGTACATCGAAGCCGCACCCCCCGAGAAGGGGTATTGTCTATTGTCTATTGTCTATACAGCGAACAACCTCGCGTCGTCGGTGAGCTCGGTGGAGGAGCACTGGCCGACTTGTGCGCCACCGAAGGAGTTGATATCGATGGTTCTCATCTTTGGTTTGTGTTTGAAACTGCCAGGCCCACGAGGACCTCGACAAGGCCCAGGGGAAGCTGAAGCACGAGCAGCGGTTCGGGTCGGGGATGCTGAAGAGCGTTACCATCGCGGTAAGCAAGCGTGGACGAGTGACGCAAGCGTTGAGGCACTACGGAAGTGTGGTGTGGTGTCACATGAGGTATCGATAGTAGTGGGGTGCTGCCTGAGAGTGTGGTGTTTTCTTCTTGTTCATCATGCCAGCTATTTACATCGGTTTTAAACGGTTCGGTACAATCTCTGGACGCACCATTCACACAGAAAGAAGAGAAGGCTACACCTGATTAGCAGGAGTTTTGTGTTGGACGCGGCATTTGCCTCCCTGTACAAGTATTGTTACAAGTATTGTCCTAGTTTTCCAAGGGTATGCATGCTGCTGTGCTACTGTACTGCCGCACTGCTGCGGAGGTAAGGTTCTGTTGGTACAACAGTGTTTGAATCTATGTATTGCATTGTACTGTATTTTCGTACTTGCATTGTACAATATCCCGATGACGAGAGGGCACGGTAGAAGCGGTTATCGGGAACGATATGTACAGCACACTTGAAATGCGGTGCAATTGCACACACAGGCATAACACGCGTGGACTTTGACCGCACATGGCAAGTGGTCACTGCTGTTAAGGAGATGTACTTGTACTGTAGTCTAGAGCATCAAGCTTCGTTGTGGCGTTGTTGTACAGTACTCAGACCGCTATCGTCGAGCTCTTCTGTTGTTGCAAGTGAGGAAAGAAAGCAAGAGAAGAGCGAATTGCATATGCATAGCCTGATAGCATAAGTTCGAGGGACAGGCGAGAGGGGACATGGTTGGCTGCAATGCTGCTTTGCTATTAGTACTTCTGTATTCAACGCAACTGTTGTTGATCCAGTCATGCCTCTTCTCAGCAGCATTGTTAAAATACCATTTGATACTGAAGAGGGCGAACATGGAGCGTTTTATTCGTTGATGCCTTGTCTCAGAACGGGGAAACAATCATGCACTATTAACAAGTGTATCCTTGTTTTCTCTGAACTGTATCCGACGTTTGCTGTTCGCGTGTTGATGCAGAAAGAAGAGGCCGAACGCCTCCTGAAACAGACGGAGCAGCAGGTTTCCATCCTCAAGGCGTCTTTGGATAGGGCCACCAAGGCCAAAGAGCACGCGGAGGCTCAGGTTAGTCACAGTACTGTAAGATTTTCAAGGTCAAAACCGCAAAACAACAAGTATGGTTTGCGGGCTAGGAGTACAAAGTCGAGTGGGTGGATCAGATCAGTGAAACTTACCATCAGCAACGATGTTTGGCGTACGCGCCAACCACAGTAGTACATTTATGGCTCGAGAAGAAGGAGCGTGCGTATTGTGTGTACTTTTCCGTTCGAAGCAAAGGCGAGGTCAAGTCAGTACCTCTAAGATACACGTGGAAAAGAGTGCGAGGAGATGAGTTTGCCTGAATTTAGTCGCGGATTCGGTTTTTGCGACCTGCAGCACTGGCGCCGTTTTGGGGTGCGATACGATGTGGTTTTTGGGATGTTATGGAGTTTACCAGTGATGCACGCAGCTCTGTGAATTTTTTGTCTTGCCGTATTGTTTTTCTTGGTGGTATCATGTCATGCAGGCTGCGAAGGATCGGGCAAGGCTGGAGCGGCAAGGGGCATCAGCGGGAGCGGGCGGGGGGGGTGGAAGGGAAGACGAGAACCTGAGGGTGAGAAAGGAAAAAGAAGGACAGTACAAATAGTCTTTGGCCTATTTGTTGATGACTTAGTTGTCGTTGCCGGGCCACGCGGCAGCCACACTAGCAATCGCCTCGACACTACTGCTGTCGAGACTATAGGGTGCTTTGTGCGACTGCTAAATTTTGTGCTGTTCTTGTTGGCGAAGTTGATGTCGTCGTAGTTGACGACGTTGTTTTTTCTTCTGCCGCAATGTTGAGGGATACTGTTTTTTTCTGCCGTTTTTTCGGCATGAGTGGGGTAGGATGGGATGGGATATGGACGACCTGCAGACGCGAAGAGGCTGCGACCTACTGCCGTGTAGTTGAGGTCTCCTGTGATTTCGTGTGCTTGCTGTCAGCCCATCCTTCTTTTGGGTTGTACCACTACATTGCTACATACATACAGCACCCACAGGACGCTCATTCCTTGAGCTTTCAGCTGGGTGGCATCCGACAAGACAGGGCACGTCACTCGATCTCTCTTTGATTCGTACCCACCCTTACCCTTCCGTGCAACCGCTTGGCTTGTTCGTGTGCTCAAGGCGAAACTCGCGGACTCTCTGCGGCAGCTGGAGGGTTCCAAGGCCATCGAGGACGCCCTGCAGTCGGAGCTCAACACCACTCTGGCGGCCTACGCACAGTCCAAAGAGGGGAACCAGAAGCTTGTACAGGTACTGTTGCTGTTAGCCGTAGCATGCATCCCCGTGACCGTAGGAGAGAAGTCAGAAACTCATGCTGCCTCTAGGGTGGCTGCCTGTTCGTTAAAGCCAGCCTGAGCTTGGTTGATGTTGATTGCAAGGAAGAGAGGTAGGGTTAGGGTTAGGGTTACGGTTGGGGTTAACCCTAACCCTAGTTAAACCCTAACCCTAGTTAAACCCTAACCCTAACCCTAACCCTAACCCTAGTTAAAGCGAACCCCACAGTATCGCATCACGTTCGGCAAGGCAAAAAAGGGTCTATCTCACAATTAATATTTCTGAGTAGGAAAGGAACGGAGGGGCCCACCACCAGAAAGGCGGCGTTCCGTTCTTCACGGATCACCTTTCATGGAATGGCTGCGTTGGTTTCAGAGGTCGTTTGTTTTCCACTGCTGCCTTGTTTTGGCACCAGCAAAACAGCGATAAAATTCCATGTCTCTCCGGTTCGACCCGTATTTCCGGTGCTACCCCTACCAGGAAATGACCCGCATCAGCGCCAGCCGGAAGGAGCTAAGCGATGAGGTTACCTCTACCAAGGCCCAGCTCAAGAACCGTGCTAAAGTCAGGTAGGTTCCGGTTCATCAGGCAGGTTCCACTTCCGCTAAAGCACCAAGAGGAGTGTTCGATGAACAATTGTCCTCGGAAGAGGAAGAGCGAGCGAGATCATCCCAAGAACCGTTATCCTTCGTCTTGACGTGGTGGCGTGTGTCACGACGTTTGCTTGGCAGGGGCAAGGTCAAGCCTTTCGTTTCGTTTGACCTGTCTCGAATAGCGGGCTTTTTCCCGCGTCGCTAAGGTACGGAGATTGACGCTGGACATTTCTCACCGGAGAATCAGCACGCACGAGCTATGATGGCAGCCCTTATTCCAACATAGTAGCTCTTTTATCCTTTTCTCCACCGCGTTGTTGTACAAACAGCGGTATGCCGTATCATGTCATAGTTGCGGGTGTTGACCTCGGCCTTGTTTTTGTTTCTTTCATTGCTTGCGGCTTATTCTTATTCCAGGGCAACGATGGAGTTGCAGATCAAGACGGCTATGCAGATGCGGGATCAGGGGCACGCTTTGAAGCAAAAGGCGCTAGATCTCGTTGCCGAAGCGGAAGAAAAGGTGTTTTTCTCCACCAAATAGGCTTGAGCAGTACTGTAGCGTATGCATGTGATAGCCAACAAGGTGAAGGAATAGACCAGACAAACCATCAACCAAGAACAGCGGTACCGTCGGCAGTATTTGCTGAGCGAGCAGCCGAGTGCAGGTTATTGGTCCTATAAAACAGCACAGGGGGGGCAGAGGTAGCGGCACAAATAAATTCTGCGTGGTGGGTGTGAATTGGTAAGTCTCAGGCTTCCTCATTGTGCTTGGAATCCGGAAGGAAGCTGGACCCTCCCTGTACTTGCCCTCCTTCGCTCCCCCTTTGTCGGGAGAGCCTGGTGACTTGGATTGAGCATGTTCGTGTATTTTTCCCACTGTAAGGCTGGCGTCTTTTCATTGGTTAGCTGGTTAGCCGATGCAAGTTAAAGAACACACGACTCTTCTGGCACCACTCGGTGACTCGCCTTTAACTCGGTGATATTACTTTACTCGGGTGACTCGACTTAGCTCGATGACTCGACTTAGCTCGCTGCCTCGACGCAACTTGCCGATTGGACTTGTCTCGGCGACTGGACTTGACTCGGTATTTCCACTTGACTTGGTGACTCGACTCAACTCGGTGATGTTTCTTGCTTCTGGTGACTTGACTCAACTCGGTAATTCGACTTAATTCAATGACTCGACTATAACTGGGGTGACTCGACTGCTGTTCTCGACTGACTCTATAGGTGCAGCACGAGAGAAAGCAGAACCTTGAGCTTGCCCGGGAAGTACACACGGAAAAGGCGCACGCTGACAGGGCCAGGCAAGAGGTGGACTTTCTCACGCAAACCAAGCAGGCGGTGGAGACAGCTCACAGGTGACAGCAACAGCAACAACAAAAACACTCCACTCCATGATGCGATGCAATGCCATGTGTGGTGGCAGCAACAACTCTACTTGAGGATGTGATGCAATCAATGCCATGTGTTCTGCTAAGGTGTGGTGTATGTACGATGGGGTAGGTTGTGAGGAGATGGGCAATATGTCCTCTTGTATTGTTGTTTGCCCTCGACTTTCTTTGCTTGTGCAGTACCAATCGTAAGGCAAGGACGAGGTGTACAACTCAAGCAGGGTGCCCCCAGAGCAGTATGTTGGACCCTTCCGAAGAATCACCCCCCCCCCCTGTAGGAAGGAACGATTGGCCATCGGTGATCAGTCCTGTTGGAACAATGCTCCGTCCTCTCGAGGACGCGTGGGCAATGGTCTAAAGGCTAAGGCATGCAAAACATAAGACTACCCCCCCCCCCCCCCCCCCC